AAATGCACAGTTTTGTTGAATCAGTTTCTTTTGGACAGCAGACCCATTACACGATCTTCAGCATTTGATTCTGAAGTGGTCTGAATCCAAACATAAACAGATTTATCGGTTTAATGGACAGTTTGTGACACTTGAATCATTACGGAGAAAATGCAGCACCATGAGAGAATAACCAAGTTAAGGTAGAAATAGTTTGTGAGAATAAAACAAAAAGATCCTGTAAACTTTATGCGAAGATTTAGGTTTTGGGAGCAGTAAAATTCTCACCTGAGAAGAGGAGAGATGCTTTACCTCCTTACTTCATAGCTTGCTCTGTGACCAAAAGCTGTCTTAGTATTCCTGCAAGAATGCAGAAGTACAATATCACACGTCAAACATTAAATTAATTTGTACACTTACGTCAAAAGCACTGTGAGTGCGTAAGACACCTTCATTAAATACAGGTACGACTTGTAGTACTAGATTCCAACACATGTTCTCAGTATTCCACTCACAGGAAATTCAAGATTGTTTTTGTTTTGCTGAGAACGGACTATTATTACACTAAGTTTACTGGTAATTGGCTTGTGGAAATTATTTTCCAATTTTACAATGATTTAGCTGTTTCCTCAAAGATGCTTCTCTATTTCCTGAACCTCACTATTAGTGAGATAAGCTGAAGCCCTACACCATGTTTTAAAAATGTTTCAAGCTTATACTTCAGGAAACATAGAAGTGTTGTGTTTATAGATGTTTTGTATCAGTTGTGTACTATCTAATAATATCTGTTGTCATATACTGTACCACGAAAAGTTAGATTAGTTTCCATGAAACTAAAAGGGCTCTAAAGAACCGAATCAGATCATTTATTTTTAAGTGGTTTCGCTATTCAAAGTAAATAATTGTATTCAAGAGTTAGAGGTGTTGTTAAATGATTCATTTCAGTATTTGTATACATCTTTATGTCCACATGTACTGTATGTTTTATCTCTTGCGGTGAATTGTTCAGGGAAGTGTAATCTAAATTCGGATTTAATGCTAAAATATGTGATTAATTAGACTTGTCATAGTGATTTGATGTAGAACTACTGTATAGTGCCTAATTGTACGTTGCATATAAATAAAAATACAAATTTGCCTTCGCTGGGCGCTGCCCTAAACGTTAATGAATGATCCTTTAAAGTGTGAAAATTTGAGGTTTCACAGAGCATGACTTTAAAACAGTTAAATTTAAAATGCTGGGAAAGTCCAACTTTTCACCTATGCCCCGCAGTGCATACAATACAAACCCCAAACCTATGGAATTTGCTCAGTCGAACTTTGAACTTCTAATTTTAAATAATTTTGATACTATTATATATAATATAACTCGTTTATAATGACATAATATGCTTCAGGTTGCGTTTATGATGGACGTAGGTCGTTGGTTTTAAATGTTTCACGAAAAACATAAAAATTGCAAACTTCCCCCATAACAATATACCTGTCTTTCAACTCCTCATGTGCTGCCTGCGAGTGTTGCTCTCAAGCCTGGATTCAGATATGTACTGTACTGATTTTCTGCGATCTATTGCTTTTCCTTACGCGACTGGTAGCTCAGGGAAAAGCAACAGATTGACAGAATCGGTGTCCAGTGTAACCCATCAGGCAGAGCTTGGAAGAAAAGATGGTGAGAATGTGATTTCAAAAATGTTATTTTTTCTTTTCTTAAATATCTTGAAAGAGGATACAAGATTTAACTTCTCGATCTAATCAAATAACAGACTGATTAAAGCTTATGATAAATTGAATGCGAGGTGCACCTAGACAACATGGGGGATGGGAGAGTGAGTAAGCGTTTACCGTGGGGAAAGAAATAATAATACATTATGAATGATTTACTTACTACAGTTGCTGTTTGGCAAAGATATGTTAGTTAAAATCAATCGTACAGTATAATAAGAAGGTAAAATCTGAAATATATGCAACTCTTTTTGTAGAGGGTATCAGTATTCTAAGAGGCTCATGGCTAGGCCTTTGTCAGTGCGACGATGATTTTTTAGGACAGCCAATTTGTAAAGGCATATTTTAAAACATGATATATTTTTTTTAATTAGCCTGTACAATTATATATTTGGCAATATTTATATATGAACGTTCAGGTTAATAATCTGAACGGATTTGAAAAGCGGTGTTGGCGTAGCCGTTTTTACTTTCGTTTTCAATGCAGTTTTGTGCTGAAGTACGTTGGTGATGAATTAGCATCACAAACGGTGCTCTTAGATTAAAGTATTGTGTTTCAGGAATTTCAGTAACAGCTTGGTCCGGCTTGACATCGAGAGGAAGGTAGTTTGTTTCTCAACGTGTTGCTTTTATTTAAAGTGGGGAGGAATTCAGAAGTCAATGCAGCACTGTTCCTGGATGTTATTTGATACAAACCCACAATATAGTATGGAAAACACTCGTGGAAGTGCTGATATTAAGCACCGGATTTTTAAAATCTTCGTTGAGTTTTTGGAGATGTACATAAGTATATCGAAGATTGAAAGAATGCCTTTTTTAATCTCCAGTTGTAGATAGCATATGGTTAAGGGCGTTACTGATTACTTTGTGATGCCATCCTTTGTCAGGATTCTGCAAGGTAGCAGAGCTCTTCTGAGTAAGAATCTGTGTTCTTAATTGTAATTGACAAATGGCATTTAATGATACTAAGACTGTATCTTCTCCTGGTCTGACCAAGTAACTTCTGATACCTGTTGTGGCAACTTGGCACGTTTTTGTCAACTTGTAACCAATATTCCAGGTTCAGTTTCTCCTTACCTTGCATTAACTTGGGCACAGGGAACACAATGGAGGTTTTGTTTTGGCAGCTCTTGCACTACACCATGATGGTCCTAGAAGGCCAGTGTGTCTGCAGGTTTTCTAGGTATCTTTGAATGGATGCACCTGAAAGAGCTCTGAGTAGTTGGTTAATTGGTTCTGTTGATCCAGTAACAAGAATCAAGAAGATTGTGGTCATTAACAACTGAACAACTGAGTTAGAATGACAACAAACAGACACAGTGGCCCTCCAGTACTGGAGATGGATAGCAATGTGCTAGACAATCCTAAAAAGTGTTGGCAGTAGAACAGCAGACACTTTAATAACTCCACGGCCAGTTTGGACACTTCTTAAAATTCATGTGCTTTCATGAATCCAATAGAAGCCTGGTGTTTTCTCTGGCCTCTACCTCTTCTTGGAGCTTACTTACAGTTACATATGTCTCAGGGAAGTCTTGTCTCAGGATGTCTCAGGGAAGTTGCATATTTGTGTGTGCATGCATGTTCGTTTCTTCTGATAGTTTGGCAGGCGGGTCAAATATAAATATATATAAATTATTTGTATCTAAGGGTCTTGGGAGATAGCATTTGTGAATACCTTAAAGAAAAGTAAGAACAGATGACAAATGTTGAGTGGTCATTTCTTATTCATTAGAAATATAATACTTAGATGAAGATAGTAAGTCAGACACGCTGTGGTTAACAGGCACAGTGAACTGCTGTTGTGCCCCAAGATTCTGTTTCACCCTGCATAATGCAACGACCAGAAAGTACAGTAAGTGATGCAAAATATATTAAAGTTCATACTAAAAAATAGAAGTTTATGCTACCAATTTGCATCTGCTATTTTCCAGTTCCGTAATCAGTATGACAACGATGTCACTGTTTGGAGCCCTCAGGTAAGAGCATTTTTTTCTATTTAAAGCTATTTATGCCTCTGACATTAGTTTAAACTTTACATGGATTTTGTCTTTAAAAAATACTACATTTGCTTTTTGGTGCTTTACATCTTAACAGGTAGTGTTCTGTCCTGATCACATATTTAATTGTAATAATTAGGACCACTTTTTATCAACTTGTGTTTATGCTGCAGGAATACAATTTGTATAAACTGTTTAAGAGGATTGAACCTCATTCCAAAGGAATTAGGGTTGTACAATTTACTGTTTTTACTTGTGCCATTCACAGGTGTCATGTTGCTGTTTGGTAGTGTTGCATTGTGTTATTAATATCGTTAAAACTTGACCTGCTCCTCTCCAATTTATTTCCAGGGACGTATTCATCAGATTGAATATGCCATGGAGGCAGTGAAACAGGGTTCTGCCACTGTGGGCCTTAAGTCCAAGACTCATGCTGTTCTTGTAGCTCTGAAGGTATACATTTCGTTGCTGACATTGTGGTTCATTATTTCTGTGTGTTTCTATTCTTTGTGATATAATACTATATGATATCTCATACTGGTTTAATCAGTTCTTCTTAGGTGTTCTATGGTTGAATCTCAAAGCACATCAGGCTGGAGCTTATCTTGTTTTTTTACTGTCCTGCTGACAGAAAGTGCATGATTCTCCCCTAGATGTGAATCTAGTCCATTGCAAGAATATGCAATGTAATACTGTACTCATTTATGCAGTTGCTTATAGTAAAACTCATAGCTTTACAGTAGAAGTCCAAAGCCTTATCCACTACATTGTTTCCTAGGTTGTAGTAAACATGTATGATCAATTTAAATCTGTTATCCTTTTAAATGTAAATTAAGGACTTTCTTTTAGCTTCACAGATATCATTGTGTTCTAGCTTTGCAGTAGATTATCAAAGTAAACCAAATACAGTAATAGCAGCAGTAAAAATGGGAAGATATCTATTTTCATGTTTTGTAATTTGATTACCAACTCTCTTATAGGCTTCTCTAGGGACATTTCTTCAGCTAAAGAAGAGCGGCTTCACAGCTTTTTATACCTTTGATACACAGTGTAACAGAACATATTTTTAATTCTTCCTATAGAGAGCTCAGTCTGAGCTAGCTGCTCACCAGAAGAAGATTCTTCATGTTGACAACCACGTGGGCATTTCTATTGCGGGTCTTACTGCTGATGCAAGACTTTTGTGGTTTGTTAAAAGATACATTTATATTATATTATATTATATTTAGTTTGATTTTTTTACTGCAGTTATCCGGATTTTGATTAATATCTTTTTGCCCTCTTTCTTTTGATATTCAGTAACTTCATGCGTCAGGAGTGCCTTGACTCTAGGTTTGTGTTTGACCGGCCTCTTCCTGTTTCCCGCCTGGTGGCTTTGATTGGAAGTAGTATCCTTTGACTTCATAGATTTGCTCTACTTTTTGGTTTATCTCAGAGTAAGTTTTAGGATTCTACATGTTGTTGCAAATATATATGCTAGGTCGTTGTCAGTTATTGTCAGCCCTGAGAACGTTTTCATAGCTTTGAACATCTTAAGGTGTAATCAGTAGGGCACATAATGGACTTCAGAAAGATGCAAGAGAATGTTTGTTGCTCAGTAAAAGCAACAGAAAGATGAAGAAACAGCGAGGGGCTGGGATTGCTGCCATGCTAATACATGAGTCGTGTAAGCCAAACCCCACTCAGTTCTGAAGAGCCAGTAGTTGGCAGTAGCACTTCCTTTGCTTTTTCTTCAATCAGAGTTTTACATCATTATCAGGACATCAACCAAACATACCCCATAGTAGACTAAACTGTGTTCGTTAAGTTATTGTGGCACTTATCCATTCTTTGTAAATGTTTAAAGAAATAATGCTTGTTTTCTGAAAAAAAAAACAGTGAACCAAACGAGACTGATGCAACAATGTAATTTATTTGGTCACATGTAAATATGGGTACTTTAAAGTCTACTCTTGAAATGCCAGTGTTATTTTTCTTGTGGCTTTGTTTTGTCTTCAGAAAGCACTAAATGTGCTGACCACGTGTTGTACTGGTTTTAAGCACTGTTAAAAGTTATGTTTTTGTCCTGAGTTATTCTTCAGAAACCCAGATTCCAACACAGCGATATGGAAGGAGACCCTACGGTGTTGGGTTGCTTATTGCTGGTTATGATGTAAGTTCCTAGAGTCAAAAGATTCAGCTCTGTAAGTGTAATAGGTGAAACATAACTACAAAGAATTTTGCAAAACCGCCTTTTCAAATGTTAATCATATAAATAGTATTTAAGGAACTTAAATTTGCATCCTTCGTGTCTTTGCTCAGTGAAGCCTCTGATTAATAAGCTCTGCTCCTCTGCTCATACAGTGGTCGTAAGGATCTTCTGTAAAATCTGAAGTTAAATTCTGTGACCATCAATGAAGATCCTAATTTACAAGAGCATTTACCAATGCCTGTGTCGCACTACATCACTATATTGGTTCTTTACGTATTTTATTTAACCTTTGAGTGCCTGTATTGAGAATCAATAATTAATTAACGCTTGTCTCCACTGGTCTGTGCTTCAATCCTGAGATGTCAGCACATATCTGAAGTTTGCCAGTCTGAATTAAAGCATGAGCTCAGATGCATTTGAAAACACTGGTCATATCAATGTTGTGTTAACCTCATCATCAAGGTGAGTCCTACTAATAGGACTCCCACCACTTACCATCCAGCCAACACACACACGCTGGTTCTTGATGTTCTCAGTCTTTGAAGCCGGCAGATGTCAAGTGGTGAGTTTTGACTGAGGTGAATCTATGGCAATTGGAGGAAGCATGAGGAGCAGGTTTCACCTTAAGGATAAAGGAGAACACAGATCTTAAAATTATTACAGTAGTGGGTTTTGAACTGTCAGGACCTTTGCTTGTATCGGCTTGTATCCTTAGGTTGAGAAAACCCAGATAGGCAGTTATAGATTGAAACTGCGAGGAGATGGTTTCTCTATACCCCTGGAATGAGTTTTACTTTTGTTTTAGGATATGGGGCCTCACATCTTCCAGACATGTCCATCGGCAAATTACTTTGACTGTAAAGCCATGTCCATTGGAGCCCGTTCCCAGTCTGCTCGCACTTACCTGGAAAGAAACATGGAGAAATTTATTGACTGTGAGTACAAAATAGAAAGTATCCAGTATTTCCAGTATCTCACTATCCATCATGGTTCATGAGGGTGTTAAACTTTGTCTTTTTTTCTCAAGGCAATTTGAACGAACTTGTCCAGCATGGTCTCCGTGCTTTAAGAGAAACCCTCCCTGCTGAGCAGGACCTTACTACAAAGGTAAGTAATTCGTGCAGCGTCTGATGCAAAGAAAACCCGGTGATTTGTCTTATAACAATTTCATCATTGACAAGCAAGCAGTAAATATGAAAGATGTTTAGATGTAATGTGGTATGTAATGATTTTACACTGACAGAGATTTATATTCTGTATGACTGTGCACTGCTTAGCTCCATTTGTTTCACATTTTCATGCTTAATTGATTTGATACACGAATCCAAAAACAGGCTATGAAAGTGATTATTAATGTTGTTTTGAATTGTAAAAATTTAAAAATGTATTTAAGCTTAAATATGGGGGACATTGAATGTATTTAGTGTTTGATTTAATATTCAGTAATGATTAACTTTACTATTTATTATGACATATTTAATATTCAGAAAAATACTTTAAAGGGTAACATTCTTGGCCTTCACAGAATGTCTCCATTGGAATTGTTGGCAAAGACCTGGAGTTTACTATCTATGATGATGACGAAGTTGCACCATTCCTCGAAGGCCTTGAAGAGAGACCCCAGAGAAAGGTAGATATATTTAACCGTACAGTTCTTTCACAACTTCCTCTTGCTGAAAATGTCTCCTGTGCTTTCCATAAGCACAATGTTCTGCTCCATATATATTCAGTATACAATTGGCTTAGGTTTTTTTTGCCAAGTTATATAATATATTTTTATAAAATGAGTAGCTTTCTTTTTATTTATATAAATTAAAAGAGAATTAAGGGACAATTAGGGTGATTGTTTCCCTCAAGGTGAATAAGAAGAATTATTACACTTTCCAAAATGTATAGGATTTATACAACAATGCAGCAAATTATACTGTAAGGCCTTCGCTTGCTTTACATATCCTTCTGTTGAATTTATCACAGTAATTTTACATGCTCAGTATATTTAACTGTATACGTAAGGCAAGATTTTTGTTTTAGAAAAAATAATGATGTTTCTTTATTAAAGTTGGGATTTCTTTACTGAAGCCTGCTCCTGTTTTGATTTCTAGGTTGCACAGCCGCCTGAAGAGCCAGCAGGAGGAAAAGCTGATGAGCCCATGGAGCACTGATGTTGGTCCTGGCTGCCAAAGATTTACACTGCTGATTAAAAAGTTCACAATCTGTAACATACCTGCTGTCAGTCTATGACCATGCATTCACAAAGCAAATGTCAACATGGAGCCCATTTTGGCCTAAGAAGATCTTAGAAAGCCACCTACCACAATATTAGCTTTTTTGTTTTCTACAAAGACTAGTTATATTATGCTTTTCTATATGAACCAACCTCAGATTGAAGTTTCAGAATAAAATCTTGTTTTCCCTATGTGTTTCAGGTCGTAGCTTTTTTAAAAAACAAAACAACAGAAATGTTAAGTAACAACTGCTTCCAATAAAAAATAAAAAAGAATTTGTAGTACCTTGTTAACCATGTACTTTATAAGGTTGCAGTCTAAAGCACTCTTCAGAAAACACACTGGCTAAATGTAAGGATCCTGTGAGATAGAAAAGGTTTGCGCTCCATTAAAAAATAGAGGGTCTTGAAGGTGAACCCGAAGTTCCAGGACTGCATGTTTGTTTTCATAGTTAAGTTTGTTTTTCATAGTGAGTTAAATCAGCTGGTACAGTGTAAGATGGGTGCTGAATTTTCTTTATGTGTAAGTAAAGGGTAATCATTTGGTACCAATTAATCATGAACCAGGCCCGAGTTTCAGTTATATGTTGTTTTCAGAGGTGGTGTCCAAGGTACGCTTATTTGCCAATTTTATTGTGTCATTTTTTCTGTCTGCTTAAGTCAAAATATCAGGTAGCAATATGCTCTCTTGGCATCTTCTAACGTTCTCTGAAAAAAATGGGCTTGCTAGACATACATAACATGATGTTAATTGATTAGTGTACGCACACCTCTTGAAATACTACTAATAATCCCACTTTCAGTTCAATATGGATAAAGGTGATGGTGCTGTTTAAGTCACCCCATTGAATTGTTAGTTTTGTTTAGATAGAGGATTTCTTGTGGATAGAAAGGTTATCTGCAGGTATTTTAACACCCTTTTAAGTTCTATGTTTAATTGTTATAAAGTTTGTTGTATTAGGAAAGAAATGAGCATATTTTAGTTTTCATGGTGATAAAACGGTACCCATTGGAAGTAAAAAAAAAACCCCTGAAATATTGAAAATGTGACCGGATTATGAAATACCAGGTGTATTTTCTGCTATAATTTTTCCAGACGGGGTCATCAAATGCTGTGCAACAATGTCCTGTGTCAGGCGAAGCAGACCTTTGATATTGATTTGAGACAAGGTTCCTGCAGTATGAAGGACACCGCTGAAGGAAGAGGTGTAATAGTATATCCCAGGGGTGACCTCAAACCTGCAGATAGTTTATTTTCTAGTTTCACAAAAAGGGCTGACACCGCAAGAAGAGGTCATGTTACAGAAGAAGCAGTAAGGTGTTCTCCCCGTTAGTCATTATCCCCAGGTCACAACAACTTCTGGTGAGGTCAGCATTTTTTTAGGTATATAGAATATTGTAGAAATGTTCTCTCATCATTCCAATGAGATGAGTTCTGTTGTTACTCCTGTCATTGTCTCTGTCCCTCACTCCTTACTGATCATGCACGCTATTCTTTTTCATTCACATTTGAGCATGATGCGTGGAAAGTTAAGGAAACTGACGCAGATGAATTTCAGATCATTAAAAGATATATCTTCATTGGCATGTTTATTGTGAAATCATAGTCCCTGTTGGGCTTCAGAAAATATTTACTTACAACAAAAATAATATTCCTTGGCTCACATAACAATCAGCTAAATGTAAGCCAGCAATAGTGCCTGGGATCTTGTTCTGTTAAGGGATAACAAGGATAGCAGAATGTCCATGGCTTCTGTGCTGATTGATTTAAGAATACATATGAACAAGCATTAGCAACACAGGGTACAACACAAAGCATATGATATGATATACTGTAGAACTAGTTCATTTATAGAAATGAAGAGAACAGAGGAAGGGTGAATGTTCTGGTGATGTACTTAATGGAGTACCACAGAGATCTGTATTAGGACCACTACTCTTCCTAATTTATATCAATGGTATAGTTAGTAAACAGAATGTTAGTATATACTGTATATACTGAACATTCAAATAAACAGTAGTTATAACGGCTAGTTTAATGGAGTCTTACCCTCGATACTGTATATGGGGCATAATTGTTATTTACTTGAATTTCACCAGGCTTTAATCAGTGGAAACACATTCTATTTTTAAAAAAATACATGCTCAAATGGAGTGATATGTTTTGATGCTCAGTATAAATAAATGTAAAATTGTGATCAATAGGCTCCTTCAACTAGAAGACTGTTATGAGAATACTGTACACAACCTTTATCACTATGTTAAAATGAAAACATTATGTTAGAATAGCATCAGTCCAGAGAAGAAAGAAACTGAATCTTCATAGTCTTGTATTAAAGAGTATAATGGGAATTGATTCAAATATTAAAACATATCAAATCATAAAATCAAACCAATAGACTTTTTCAGAATCAGTAAACAAATATGAACATGAAACACAAACATGAGATTGAGAATGTGTTATGTTGGGGTTTTTTTTCACAGTAGGGTTGTTGGGATTTGGACTAGGTGTTGTTGGAGCTGAACTAAACTTTCAACAAATGGCTGGATGAAATCCTCTTAGCTCAGGTTGCTAAGTTAAGCAACCACAATCTAGACAAACCAAATAGCATCCTCTTCCTCTTTTGTAACGTTTCTTTTGCTCTTCTCAGAAAAGCAAGATAAAAATAATGATACCAATACTAATGCTGTTGACGTAGGAAAAAAAAGTCTGTTTTATGCTAATAAAGTACAGACAATCTATGATCTGGTCACACCCTCAGGGGACATTACTGACAAAGGGAGAGAGATGGTTGTGGGGTATCAGGAAAAGGTAGACATGACCACAATGATAAATGCCTGCACTTATGTAGAATGACCTGGGTTATGTGGAGGTTCTTGGTTAACCTATGTCACTGGCCAGAGGCTTGGTGGACAATTGTGGACATTGAATCCTCCCATTTAAACCCATTTGACAGACAGTTCTGATCATGACATAAATCCCTAAAACAGAATGAAATGCACTTTTGAGTTCTAATAGGGGGAGGTGTTTGTGATAATGAAGCAACGAGTGGATATTTACAAAAATATTTAAAATTAGAAAAAATTATCATTATTGAAACAAAGTTTTATTTTTATTAAGGAACATATATAGTGTTGCACTGGTGTTTATTTTTTCTGTTTTTGAACATATTTTAATAGGCGATTTGCAAAGAACATTTAAACTTCATCGTAAAAATTATAATCTGAATTAACATCGATCAAATCGTTTTTTCAATTTATTTTATTGATTCGGTCATATCTATAAACAAGAAATGTTTAAATAGATTAGTAGGATTTAACTACTAATCTATTTAAGCATTTCTTATTTATAGATATGATCGAATCAATAAAATAAAATTGAAAAACTGATTTACCTATACTCTATTTCTACCTATACTCTAAATGTTGGTGACGTTGGAAGTTCACATCTGTACGCATGCAGGCAAAAACGAGTTTCTGTTCCCTCTCGCCTTAGTTTAAGCAAGTTTGTCCCTCTTAGCTTCCTGTAGTATTGATGTGGCTCAGACCTCCTAGTTCCACGTCACTTGGATGTTGTAGCGTAGTGCAGCTGGGGAGAGGTTAACACAGTGAATAAAAAGGTAAAGAAACTTTCATTTTAATTGTGTAGATTTATGCGGTTTTGTATCATTTTACGGAAGCTTCTTCTATAAGAAATATTTACAATTGCATTGTAATTTTCAAAAGGTTCTTCCTTTTTGTAAATTGAAGCTCCACATCTCACAGGTTATTTTAGCTGAAGTTCCAGCAAGGCACCACTACAGAGAGCATTAACAAGGAAGACATTTGTCAAGCCGGAGTTGGATGACCCATGATAAATCGGTTATGGCTGTTGATTTGAACGTTATGCACAAACTTGCTACTGTGGTGGTTTTGCCTCCACAATACCGATTTCTGATGTAGCTTGTGGGATTTTGTGTAGTTGAGCCGGTCACTTCCTGAGGCCTATCTTTTAGGCCAAACCTCTTGATTGTGCAGAAGAACGAGCTCGGTGCAGTTTACTATAAAATTATGTGATCACACCTGCACAGAATAGTCAACTGATATGGTCAATAAATTAGTGGCCTTCCACATGCTTTTATTGTATTGTAGTTTACACCAAGGGAACAATCATTAAAATATCGTTGTGTAACGTCAGACTTGGGTAGACAAGTTATGGCCCTAATACAAAAAGTTTACGTTTATTGTAATATCTTAAAAGGATATAGTTTCATTTTTGCCTTATTACTTAGTATTTGTTCTTAAATGTTGTTTTCACCTGCCCTTTATATGGTGGTGTTAATTGTATTTATTCTCATTACGGAGAAGAACCTAAAAGATGATAAAATAGTGCTTCATGATAAGTTACTGTTGGTTCCCAGCAAGTTTCTTATTAATATATGAACGTTATGCTGTAAGTTTTACTTGAATTATGTTTTTGTCATCAGGTTGCAAAACGTAAAATAAAATAATAGAAGTGGTGTTTACAGGTGTTCTAATTTACGGAGGCCACTTATACATGTGTATTTAAATGCGAACGTCCTGTGAGCAGTAAGTGTAATTATGTCTCTATGAACAGCACGGATTTGACGTGCCAGCGTGGAGCAGGATATTCTTGGTGCTGTACAGGGAAGAGGTCAGGGTGTCTGCAGGTGTTCTAGGTCTCTTTAAAGCAGCAGCACCTGAAGATCTAAGATAACGTAATAAATTGGTCCAATTAGCCCAGTGATGATCTGACAGGACATTAAGAGCTACATTGAAATTAAATCCTCTAGGACCAGGATTGGACAGCCCAATTCTAAATGATTTGGTCATTTGTGACAGCTGCTTTGTTGATTTTAATGCCATTTCACGTCGATAAATAATGTATAATATGGCAAAGTTACTCGCGTTTTGCACAGCAGTCACTTGCGATCAATTTTATCTTAAAAAAATGCATGTTCTTGTTCTTTGTTACAGGGTCTGATCAACATCAAGTTTCTCCTGGTGTTTTTCGTTCAGAAAATTAGACAGCCGGCATCATGACCGCCGCGGAGAATGTGTGTTACACTCTCATAAATGTTCCGATGGACTCGGAACCGCCATCAGAACTAAGTTTGAAAACAGACCTCGGTGAGTGTTAAATGCAAACAACTGCAAGGGAAGCTAGAAGGAAGAACTTGCTGTAGATTTACACCAGGTTTGTTGAATGGTTAACACATGGTTAAAAAAATAAAAGTGTTTCTTTCTTTGATGTTTTGCCACTCACGATTAAAGCATTTTTGGGGGGTAGTTTTCCTGTTTTCTAAAGGGGATAGGATTGAGTGATCTTTGTGTGAATGTGATTATGCACGTGTTCATTTTCAGTCTTGTGGTGCTGTTCACTTTTAGAAAAGGGGGATATCAAGGCCAAAACGGAGGCCTTGAAGAAGGTGATCATCATGATTCTCAATGGGGAGAAGCTGCCTGGCCTGCTGATGACCATCATTCGCTTTGTACTGCCTCTTCAAGATCACACCATTAAAAAGCTGCTCCTTGTCTTCTGGGAGATTGTTCCCAAGACCACTCCAGATGGCAAGCTGTTGCAAGAGATGATCTTGGTCTGTGATGCCTACAGAAAGGTACTTGTCCGGCTCACTAGTGTGTCATGTTCTGAATTTGTGCCTTTTGACAGTGTTGTCTGAAAGTGTTTGCTTTGGAAGACCGGTCACGTATGTTGTGAAAAGATTTTTTCATGTCTCCTGTCCTGATCTTCCCTACAAAGATGGGCAGAGGAGAATACATTTCCATTGCACCAAGTCTTAAAAACTCAGAACATTTTGATATTTTTCTTTTAGTCTGGTTAAGTCAACACTTGTTTCCTGCCCTCATGTGCCATTTTTCTGTTCTGTGTTCTGTACTGTGTTGGTTAGTTTTTGCCAGGTCATGTGCTTGCTTTGACTCTAAGAATAAGACGTCAAATATACATTAGATGTACTTCACTTGGTTTTGTGGGTTTACTGCAAGATTTTAACATCTGCAGTTTTCATATGTTTCATATTTATAATCATATTGCTGGCCGTGTTAAGGTCTCGCTTCTATAAACAACAAGAGTGCTTCTTCACGTTGCACAGCTGTGGCTTTTTCTCTCCACTTTTCAAGTGTTGGTGAGTGAGCACTTACCACTTATCTTTCTCGTAAAAAAAGTCAGAAATACTTGAACAGCCAAGAGAGCCAAGAGCGTTTCCCCAATATTAATACTCTTAGGTATTTTCCAAAAGCCATGAAAGTTGTAGGAATTGGAAAATGGGGAACAGTGTTTGTTTTGATCGAGACCCACTTCTAAAATCATCAATAGGAATTTTCAGTGCACCTCTTATATTTGAATTGGATTTTTCTTTTCACTTCTAAGCAAAAGACATTATGATGAAGAGTGGGTAAAATAATAGAATAAGGATTTAAAAGCTGTCATGGCTGTTGAGCTCAAAGCTTGTTTGAACGCTTCTTCTTTTACAGCTTTGCACTTAAGAAATTATCACCAGGACCATGCAGGAGGAATGAAATCTGATCCAGCCACCCGTTTCTCGTGACTCCATATTTGCCACAGAAAACTATTCTCACAGTGTGCTTCTTGCCACTTTGATGGGGGAAAAACACCTGATCATGAAGCAAAATAGGAGGCAATTGTTGACCTAAACTGTACTGTTTAATAATCGCCAGAAATCTGTTGTTGCTTAAGCCTGAATGCAGGTTTAACTCAGTCACCCACTTCAGCATTGCGACCTGGCCTAAATTGCCTTCGGCTTTGGAGTCACTGATCTGCCCTTGTGTCTGCTGGGGTGAGGATAGTTTGTGGTTATTCATTTCTGTTGCATTAACAGGACCTACAGCATCCTAATGAATTCATTCGGGGTTCCACCTTGCGGTTCCTGTGCAAGCTGAAAGAGTCTGAGCTGCTGGAGCCCTTGATGCCAGCGATCCGTGCCTGCCTGGAGCACCGACACAGCTATGTGCGGCGAAATGCTGTCTTGGCCATTTACACCATTTATAGGTGAGTTTGGGAGCAATGAAGGGACTACACCTCTTTATGCACAATACACAGTGTATAAGGACAGATTTTTAGAAGCCGATGTTGTAAAAGAAAACAGGTAGCTGGGTCTTTGTTCCTTAATGAAATGGAACTTCTGAATAACTTTTAATGAAAAGGGTGCCATTAATGTTAACTTTCTATTCCTATAGGAATTTTGAGAATTTAATTCCTGATGCGCCTGAGCTGATCCATGATTTTCTGGTAAATGAGAAGGATGCTAGCTGCAAGAGAAATGCTTTCATGATGCTGATTCATGCTGACCAGGTACAGTTCCATGTTTTATTATGTAAGTCGTGTAAAACTACAGTTTTTAATATTCTGTTCCTCTGCTAACCCCTTCATTTTTAAAATTTTGATATGAATGTGAAAAGACCGTGAATAATGCAGAATAGTGAAGAAGTACTCTGATTTTTATAATGTTCATTTCTAGATTTCTTTACTAAGAAAGATCTGTTGATTTTCTTTGACTTTTTTTCTCTAATATTTCACCTACAGGACAGGGCTTTGGATTATCTAAGTACCTGCATTGACCAGGTTCATACTTTTGGAGACATTCTTCAGCTGGTTATCGTGGAGCTCATTTACAAGGTAAGAGCGTGAGAACTGATCAGACAACAGTGATTTTTTTTTAAATAAAAATGCAGTTGCTTTAACTTAATTCACTAAAATCAGAATTTCATTTGCTCATCTATTTACTGTTTCATAATTGAAAATGATTTTATTTTGGTTAGCCTTCTTTCTGTGTGCAGTTAGTGGAATTTGAATTAATTACTGTGTCATAATTAAGAACTACAAACCTGGCACTACGCGTTTCTTGCCAAAGATGTGTCTTTCATGGAACTCTTTGTTTTGTGTTTTGTCCATACAGGTGTGCCATGCAAACCCTTCAGAACGAGCGCGATTCATCCGCTGTATTTATAACCTCCTGCAGTCTTCCAGTCCAGCAGTAAAATACGAAGCAGCAGGAACTCTAGTGACGCTGTCTAGTGCTCCAACTGCCATAAAGGTAGTGTGTCTTAAGCAGATATACATTTTTAAGGAAAGGTTTGTTTGCTAGGTAAACAATGGCATTTGAAGTCATGAGAAATTCCAGAATTGTTTGTGGTATCTGTAATGGATATTGTTGAAGAACATTCTTGTTTTATTTTTAACTTCATATCCAGTGGCAATAAATCCCCAAATGAATAATTTGGGAGTGATCTTTGATTCTGGGTTGATTTTTTTTCCATTCAAGAAATATAATGTTATTTGTGTCTGTAGCAGCAAAACTGATAAATATTTTTTTTTCAAGGATTGATTTTTATAATGATCTGCTTGCAGGAATCTTAAGATTACACTTAAGAAGCTAAAATAGGTTCAGAATGTATTTGCTAGAATCCTCACTAGGTCTTAAGCAAGCAATCACATGACTCTTAGTTTAGAGTCCTTGCACAGCTTCTTGTCAGATTTTGAGTTGATTTTTAAGTCCTTTTTCTTTTGTAGCATGACTGTCAGTATCTAGCTATTATGATGTCTTTTTATGAGACCTTTGCTAAAAAGTTTTCTGTGTGTTCTGATGTTGTGTCTACAATGTACAGGTTACAAGGCTATATAGGATACGGCTATTTTGTATAATGTGCTTTCCATTTATTATAAAGCACCTGGAGAATGTTGCTTTTAAATAAACAATATGAAATACTGCTTATTGACCATGGTTAGAACAGTGTGCTATAGAGATGGAATTTAGTTTTGCCCTGCAATTATCTCCAGGCTGCAGCACAATGCTACATTGATCTGATCATTAAGGAGAGTGACAACAATGTGAAGCTGATTGTCCTAGATCGTCTCATTGAGCTGAAAGAACACCCCACTCACGAGAGAGTGCTTCAGGTAAAAATATAACTACATACCTCACAATTAAGGATTCAAATGTGCGTAAGAGCTGACCATACAATTTAAAACTAACAGTTGCTGCTGACTTTTTTTTACGTAGGTCTTTAAAATTGTGCTATTCCTACCAATTTTTTTACATTTTTAATATACATAACTGACAGCTGTATGAAATCTGGATCCTGGAATAACATTCGTTAAAGGTTATGCTTAGAAAAGAGCATAGTGTAATGGGTCTGTGTACTTGTAAATTATACTGGGAAAATAATGTCTAGTACAGAAAATCCCATAGGTGGGGTATAAGTCCATTTCTTTTACATTTGTTATAACTCAAGCGCCCAATCAGGTCAAAAATACATTTGATTGAAAATGAGATTGTTTTGTTACTACACTGTCAGCAGAGCCAGGTTTTCTTTTGTTTTGAATTTTGTGTGATCTGTTATAGGATCTCGTGATGGACATCCTCCGTGTGCTGACCACACCAGATTTAGAAGTGCGCAAGAAAACTTTGCAGCTTGCTCTCGATCTTGTTTCCTCACGTAATGTGGAAGAGGTCTGCATCTTTAATTTCCCTTTATCACTCTGTAGCGTCCCACTGTGCATAGCTATGTTCTGATATAATTTGAGTTTTATTTTGGGTTTGTAGCTCGTGATTGTTCTGAAGAAGGAGGTGATCAAAACCAACAATGTGACGGAACATGAAGACACAGACAAGTACAGGCAGCTACTTGTACGAACTCTGCACTCCTGCAGTGTCCGGTTCCCAGATATGGCTGCAAATGTTATTCCTGTTGTGAGTAAAATTTCCTTTTTCTGTGTTTGGGGACTACAAAGACTTTTTTAAGGATTGTCTGCAAATATCTTTCTTGTAAGTCATGACAGGTTACTTTGTACTGTTGTGGCTTGTGTTTCTGAATAGCAATTGAATAGTCCTTTGCTGACATAGGTCTGTTACTGATTTAGTCGTGTAACCAACTGTACAGCTTTATGGTACATTGAAAAAATAATTTGACTGAATATAGCTGTATAGCTATTTTAATATTGACATGACCAAAATAATCAGCAAATTTCCATTTTCCTTTGATGCAATGTTACTCCTTTAATGTTATGTTGTAATTCATTTTAATAAAGATTGTAAAGCTTTGAATGAAGTCAGAGCAAGGCGAAGCATCTGGCTATTGTTTGCAATTGAAAAGAATTTAACTTTGAATGGAATTGGTCTGGCGATGATAGATCCACTGGTATATAACACTTAAAATGGAGAGCTCTCAAACACCTTTGTGTGTAGCGTAGGCCATCAGTATTAAAACTTCAATAATGAAAGTAAATTAAACGTGTCTCGGTGCTACAATAAGACGACTCGTAGATGTAGTCATTTTCTGGTAATTTCTTTTTGTGTCTGTCAGCTGATGGAGTTCCTTAGTGACAACAATGAGGCAGCTGCAGCTGATGTCCTGGAGTTTGTGCGTGAAGCCATCCAGCGGTTCGACAACCTGAGGCTTCTCATCATTGAGAAGATGCTGGAGGTTTTCCATGCCATCAAGACCGTGAAGTAAGTGGTCGATAGCCCATTGTCCCTATACACAGCGCATACAGACCGCTATTCATGTTGTTCTCAATTGTATTAAAACAGTACCAGCAGGGAACTACCAGCAATCATGTAGTAATCTTCAATTTAAGTATTAGATTGTAGCATTAGCGCTGCATGAAGTGATTATTTGACTAGACTTTGGTTTACAGTGTTGCCTGATTTTAAATTTGATTGAAATTGACCTTTAGTGTGGTGTCGCTCCAAGGCCACATGGAAAGCGTAAAGGCAACAGGGAGCACAAATTGATTGAAAGATTGGGTTAATATTGTGTTTTTTAATGGCTGTTTATTTTGCTATCAGGATATACAGAGGTGCTCTTTGGATTCTGGGAGAGTACTGCAGCACCAAAGAAGACATTCAGAGTGTGATGACAGAAGTTAGGAGGTCTCTGGGAGAGGTAGTTTCCAGTTTCTTTACACTGCTGTTGGGTTTTAAATGACTGCTCTTTTTTCAATATTTTTTTTTCTTAATTATTGTATTTTTGCTTAATTCAAGAAGAGGGTAGATTTAATTGGTGAAGGACACATAATGCGGTGTGCACCTAATGTTGGAGGAAAACAAAGATGCATAGTATATTTCAATATAATTACATTATAATTAAAGGTGGAAGGACAATTTGCACTCTAGCAGTTCGATTTGGAGGATATTTTAAACCTAGATAAAAACATATTGAAGCAAATAAGTATGCCGTTTACTCTTTGATATCTTTGATCAGTTTTTTTTTACATTTCAATTTAGTGCATCCTCCATACTTAGACTCCTTTATATAATTGCATGCTTTTATTGTTGTTCCAAAAACACATGCAGGGTTTGCCATCGAGCAGAAAAACCGCACAGGAACCTGTGGTTGAGTGGATGTAAATATAGATGTGTATGTCTGTCTCTGCAGGTGTAGATATAGGCTATATAGGCTTAATTTGTGTAAGACCTGGTTTTTAGAACACTGATATACAGGCTTTTCCAGTGTTTCAATAACATATAGTTTATTCTTCTAGGACAGGTCACATGATATTGTCATGATATATCACTGAACTATTTTTCCATCAGACCAAGTTGTTGTTGATGAGACTCTTATTTTAAAATTAGTATTTATTTTGGAATGTCCCAAATTGCTTACCTCCTATTTCTCCACTGTTGCAAGAGGAAAATACTAAAGTGTATTTCTTGCGCTGTTTACTTTTGCTGTTTTCCTTGCTGTTTGCTTCGAGGAAAAAAAAACCCAGAGGCAGTGTTATACTGATAGAGGTATTTATGTACTTGTCATGGGGCGTAACAACTGCATTCAAAGATTTCAGTTCGTGGTCTGTTCCCTCCATCTAGATCCCGATCGTGGAAAACGAGATAAAGAAAGAAACTGGCGAAGTGAAAGCGGAAGAAGAGGTGACTGCAGCCCCCGCTCAGAAACTGGTCACAGAGATGGGCACCTATGCCACACAGAGTGCCCTCAGCAGTTCCCGGCCATCCAAAAAGGAAGAGGACAGGTACTGGAAAGCGCTGTAGCAGCAAGCACATCCATCCCTGTGATGCGTCTCTGCAGTACTGGTGTCTTAGCCTGCGAAGGAGATGTACAAGGAAACACCTCTGGTGTTGTGGAACGTATTGTGATGAATCTTTACAGAATCTTTTTTTTTTTCAGAACTATTTACACGTCTTTTTAACGGCGATGCATATATTTTCAGAATGATTCAAATAAAGGCAGATCTTTCTCTTTCTTCCGCAGGCCGCCGCTGCGGGGATTTTTAATGGATGGGGATTTCTTTGTGGCAGCTTCACTGGCAACCACCCTTACCAAGCTGGCACTGCGCTACGTCGCGATTGTGCCTGATAAACGGAAGCAAAACGTGAGTTAGACCTGCAGAGGCGGGCGTGACGTGGACTCTTTGAAATTCTGTTATGCTGATGGCACAATAAAAAATTAAAAAAGCAGGCGGATTTATTATTATTTTTTAAATAAGACTTTTTGTAAAAACTGTACTTGGTATTACTAATCAACATTCATACAGAAAATCTATGAAAAACATCCACTTTTAACAAACTACAAATAGGGAAATAGTATTTGGGCCTTGAGAGTTAAAATAATTGAATTTTTGTACAGTTGTCCACATCAGCCTTAAATTGTACGGATTAACATGCCCTGCCTGCTCTTTTTCTGCTGGATGTTTTTGTTTCCGGTTCTCTCTAGTCTCATTTCTAACTCCTGGCTGTTCCTCTTTCAGTCCTTTGTTGCAGAGGCCATGCTGATTATGGCAACGGTGCTGCACCTAGGCAAATCCTCCCTGCCCAAAAAGCCCATCACCGATGACGATGTGGACCGCATCTCCCTGTGCCTCAAAGTCTTGTCCGAGTGCTCCCCTCTCATGAACGACATCTTCAACAAAGAGTGCAGGAAATCCCTTTCCCACATGCTGTCTGCCAAGCTCGAGGAGGAGAAGCTCTCCCAGAAGGTGAGACCTCCAGTTCTTTTTACCTGAAGCAGAACAGCACTTTGCCTGCTCCACCATCTTACCATCAGCTGTCGTCAGTTTTGACAGACTGTCCGGTTTGAAAAGGAATCATTTTACTGTATTAAAGAATCGAAAAGATCACTGGTAATTGTAAGGTGCATGGAATTGTCTTGATCGTTTATTACACAGTACCTTATAGTGGTGTTCTCAACTGTACAGTGTCTTTGCATTTTTACTGATTTCTCATCGGATTGTTGAAGTCATTTTGTGTTTATTTGGATAAGAGAGAATTTCCGGAAACCACCGACTGCCAAGGAAGAGCAGGGGTCACCAGTGGCCCTTGTTGAATACAAAAACTAAAATGAGTTGAAACCACACTGAAAACAGTTCTCGTGTTAGAGACTCATGGCTTCCTGTGAATGTTAACAACATTGAAAGAACACTAAATTACCAAAGATTCTGCAGAATTTGAAGGGAGTTCATATGAAGGCTAGAAAATGTGAGTAATAGAGAGCACTCTTGTGAGTTTCATTTGCTACCTCCTCATAACAGTAAGTAGTGGGGAGGAGCCCATAATTTATTGTTGCACATTCCTAATCATATTGCTGCACATTGTAATCATATTACATTTGATGAGCTTTATTTACTGTAGCATCTGTTATGTTTTGTGGTGTGTGTTGTATCTAAACCTGTTATGACCAATGATGATGCATCACTTCACCCCCTGAGCCTTTGGTTTGCAGAGTCTGTCAATGTTATGATTTTGCTCAAATTTGCAGAAGGAGTCGGAGAAGCGAAACGTGACAGTGCAGGCAGACGACCCCATCTCCTTCATGCAGCTCACAGCTAAAAATGAGATGACGTCCAAGGAAGACCAGTTTCAGCTCAGCCTGCTGGCAGCCATGGGCAACACTCAGAGAAAAGAGGCAGCTGACCCGCTGGCATCTAAACTCAATAAGGTACTGCTGTGCAGGATCCCCTGGTTGGGGCTGTTCAGTTTTGTGTGGATGTGGTGCTTTCTGAGATATGGCTGCCGCCTTCTCTTGTCATTGGCAGTAAAGTAGTATTTCTCTTGCTGCCACTAGGTGGTACTTTTGCATAGCAATAGTGAAGCTATTTATTTGATCAGTATTCATGGCAATGGAGAGCAGCATGACTTGCATTTTTTAAAGAAAAAAATGCTGTTTGAAATCACCTGCTTGAATATGAAACAATCCTTTTTGCTTTTCAATTTTATTTACCAATGTTCCTCTATTCTGATGCTGAAATGCATGTGTGTATGATTTTTTTTAGTACAGTGAGTGTTCTATGCTGATGCTTTGTATTGCAGGTCACCCAGCTGACAGGCTTCTCAGATCCAGTCTATGCAGAAGCCTATGTTCATGTCAATCAGTATGACATTGTACTGGATGTGCTTGTAGTCAACCAGACCAATGACACTCTGCAGAACTGCACTCTAGAACTGGCCACACTAGGTAAAGTAATGTATAATGTTTCAGCAGATTAAAAAAAGTCCTTAAAACTTGTTTGCAATATCGTCTGTACTGATCTTCTTAACAATCGTTTGTTTATTCCATTACCCTCTTAATTAAAGACATTGTATTGCTCCATTATTCTGTCTCTGCCTTGACTGGAAACACAAACAGTGACCTGAGTCTTTCTTGTGGGTTTATAAATGCAATAGAAGGTATGCTTTTTCTTTGTGATGCTAAAGATTGTTTTAATCTATTAATCCCAACAGGTGACTTAAAGCTTGTGGAAAAACCTTCACCTCTCACACTGGCCCCTCACGATTTTGCAAACATAAAGGCCAATGTCAAAGTGGCTTCAACCGAGAACGGCATTATTTTCGGAAACATTGGTAAGTACAAATCAAAAGTCACTTTCTGGTTCCAAAGCACCTTAACAGTCTTCTAGAGCAGGCAGTTTTGTTTGTGGTCAAGACTTTTTTTTTCAGCTGTGAGTATCCAATAGGATTTTTTTTTTTATTTTGTTATGCCATTGTCTTTGATCATGATTTGCTCAGATTTGTAATGGTTTTGTAAGAGGTATGAACTTCATCAGCATCTCCTTCCCCTCCTTTTATTTTGATTTTTAGTCTATGATGTTTCTGGAGCTGCCAGTGACCGAAACTGTGTTGTCCTGAGTGATATTCATATAGACATCATGGACTACATTCAGCCTGCCTCCTGCACAGATGCAGAGTTCCGCCAGATGTGGGCAGAGTTTGAATGGGAGAACAAGGTAGAAATCTAATCTAACCCTGTGAAAAAACACTTCCATTTCAAAGAAATGTCAAAATAGTGTTCTGCTCTAATGTGTAACCACATGGTATTGAAGTTTGTCAAGCTGTGGATTAATTAAGGTAGTAAAGCGATAAAGTATAATAACTGCAGTCTTCAGAGTTAACATTTTTTAAAATATTTCTATTATGCTAAACTTATATTTTCACATGAATGTGGGAACTTGGCGTCTGTACTTAGTAAAAGTGTGTGATAAATGTTAAGATGATAGTGTGAAGATTTGTTTGGTAGAAAAGGAAGCTATTAAGCACTATGGTTTTGAAAAAAAAACTACTTTCTGTATTAAGACAGTCTATTACAGTACTTGTATTTTATTTGTGCCATACTCTGTATTTCAATTTACTTATAAGAGGTAGATTTATAAGATGTATTCAAATAAGGTGTATTCAAAGTAAAAACAGACAAAGTAACAGACAAAAAAAATAGAAAGCAAATACTGAGTTGCCAGTGGCTGACCAGTGTTAGCTCCAGTCTCACTTTTAGACTATTTGAAATATTGTAAATAAATAGTATAAAACATGCATTCAAATAGCTTGGAGCTGCCGAAAGCATCAAAAGAATAACATTTAAAATAGTATTTCCATGCAAGCCCTTTTTGAAAACTGTCATAATATTAGTAAATACAAACCTTCAACTTTCACTAACACACGGCAGACATGATTGAGAAATTTGTTGTTGAGGAAATATCTGAGGAACAACGGCACCACAACTTAGCAGTGAGGCCAATACCTACCCCGGTTAAAAGAATATTAGTGACTCATATTGAACTGCACATTTCATTATATGTTTGGCGGAGTTCAGTAAATTCATGTGTAAGAGCACTCCTCTAGTACCGATACATCCACTACTTCACGTATCCTTAATGAATCCTTGGACGGATCATAGATACCATCACAGGTCTACCTAGCAAGTAAAAGAGCATTCAAAGATTGTCACAAATCATTAAACGCAGTCTTCACTATTTTTCAGTTTTTGTGAATCTTCTATTTTTTTGTGATCCTACTTCTTCAGGTGACAGTTAATACAAACATCACAGATCTGAATGATTATCTCCAGCACATTCTGAAATCAACAAATATGAAGTGCCTGACTCCAGAAAAGGTAATGTATCACTGACTTTGTGTGGCAAAATGATATAGTGCAAATCTAATTTTTCATCTTAATTGTATTCTGCAATGTTCTAGTTATTAATTCTTAGGTTATTTTTACACAAAACGTTTGTTTTTTACACTGAGGCAGAAAGTAAGGCTACTTTTCTGATATTGTGCAATGGAATGTTTTTAACTAATGTTGAATTTTGTAATTCATAACATGTTGTGTAGTGTGAAACAAATTTGTACCCCGGCCCAGATATCTATTCTTTTTGACGTTCACTCTTCAGGCTCTGTCTGGGTTTTGTGGCTTCATGGCTGCCAATTTGTACGCCCGCTCCATATTCGGAGAGGACGCCCTCGCCAACGTCAGCATTGAGAAACCGATACACATGGGGCCTGATGCTCCAGTCAGTGGCCACATCCGCATCCGGGCAAAGAGCCAGGTAGGGTCCTCTGCCTACCTGGAACTTACCAACCTGTTACTAGGCCTTCTCCTTAACACGTTCAAATGAGCTCTTCTGGGGTAGTCCACTGTGGGCCAGGCTGTGAAACCAAAAGGAAAGAAGAGATCCTGCAGCATTCTAGACAAATCTTTCACCATCTTTAATGATCCACTAGATCCTTCACAGTTTTATTAAGCTCACCTTAAACAGATTTTCGATGTTTGTTAAATGGTATTGCTTTACAGTGCCTCCGAAATAGTAACGGCAACCAAAACATGTACAGATGAAGCACAGTCTATTTTTGGCCATAAGACTGCTAAAAGAACGTTGTAAGACGTGAATGGAACTACTACCAAGTAGATGTTTGTAATTTATACTGAGCAAATGTATGAGATGCAATAATGACATAGTCACTTAGCTTAATCACTTTATGTCACTTTAGTCTCTTGACTCTTTCATAGTCATGAGTGTTCAGTTAGTTAAGATGACACCTGAACATTTAACCAATAGTGAAAATCTGTGTACGTTTTGCTCTCGAAACGTACATGCATAGATAATGAGAATTTTCTTTTAATTTAGAATTATTTGTGTTATACCCACCCAATTTCGAATAGCCAGTCGTGTGTTTTTGTAGCTATAAACCCCGTGACTGCACACAGGGGAGGATGAGGAAGTGCAGGCAGACATCTACAACTTAACAACCTTTTGTGCGTTTTAACACGTCACGAGCAACATAGCCTAGAGGTTCAATTGGCACTCCCACAACCAACAGCACTGCATGCCCACAGGGGTCTGTGTGCTGGTGACAGCCCTTGTTCACTATTCCCAACCCACCCTTGGTCACTCAGACAATAGGGGATTCCCCTGCCACAGTCAGCTGGTGACATGTCCAAGGCTTGAACACATCACATCTGGATCATAGAGATCAGACTGCACGTGGCTGAACACCTTTTCCTGTTGAAATGCTCCTGATAAGCTTCTTTACCTCAGTTTATATGCGGAACTAAAATGGCTGCTTGTCAAATGTCCCTTTCACAGTTTTGCTTAATTGTTAAATATTCCTAAGGGTTCAGTTCAGATGAAATGTGAGTTGAGGAAGGTAGCTTGTTGGATGCAAAAGCAGCTAATTAGTCTTGTAAGAATACCTGATGCCTTGAAATGTCTGTTAGAATATTATTTGGCAAGCATCTTATTGCCTTTCCTGTTTAATTTGTAATTGTCTTTTTTTCTCCCTCATTATAGGGGATGGCCCTCAGTCTGGGAGACAAGATCAACCTCTCTCAGAAAAAATCAAACCCGTAAAAAACAAGACTTCTCCGCTAATAGGCTAGATTCATCTTTTCCCGTTGTGGCTAGTCAACCTTGAGAATCTTTTTCTGTTGCTTATTTACCCTCATCCTGTGGAGGAACAAGCTTTGTTACTGAATCCTCCAGTACTGCTTGATGTTTCTGTCAGGGAAATCACACTTCCATTGTGAGGAGTGATCCACACTTGCAGTCTCCCTCTGTCATATACCGATGATTATGGTTTATCTCTGATTTACACGAAGCATTTCACCATATAATAAAGATATATAAAGTTTGAGTGTGTTGTCACAGTTAATTGCCCTGCCGAGTAACCATGTGAGTAAAGCATTAAGCTATACCAGTATGCATCCCAGATCCCAGACTATTGATTTTTGTTATTTAATGTTATTTAATGCTGTGACTAGTGTTTCTTGTAACAATTGTAATAGTTTATTCCCTTCTAGGCTCTGTAGTTTTGCATATATTTTGTGTTGAAGGTAACCTAAAGAAATGAATTGCAGTGAGGACCCTTGAATTCATAAATTACAAGGCATGTCACAATTTCCAAATAGTATAAACTGCCTTAGGGATTGCATTATGCCCAAGTCAGCTTTTCTTGGGAAAATGCCAAGTTTTCTTTTAGCTTCAAGCCTTTAGATTTGCATACTTCACTGTAAGAGGGGAGTCATTTTATTAAGTAAAAATGATGTTAGAAAAGAAAGCAAACCACTCCTACATTTGTATATCACAAACATTCCAGCTATTTTTGCATTAATTATTTTTACTTGCAAGTTGCAAATTGATCAGTCTCATTTAAGGAGCTCTGACCTCATTTGAAAAGTTCCATTTTGCAACTTTTTAAGAATTATGTAATGCTGTGTTACATGTTCTTTTTGCTTAGAGGAAGCAAAAGGGCATTTTTATATATCGGCTTATAGAAACCCTATGTCTTATGTACTCACTTCCATACTAATGGTAATACTTGATTAAACTGCAGTCTTAATTTAGCATATCTGTAGTGATAGGGGTATGCTTTAAGTCAACAGAATAATGTAGTATCAGTGACCAGCTCTTCCACAGACTGCAGAAATGCATTATTGAGCAACAGGAGTTGACGTAATTTGCTTTAGTCACCGGCACATCTGAAAATCTGTGTATTTGCTTGTCTGGTTAATCTCAGTTTCATTCCCAGTGCTGCTAGTATTGTAAAACAAGCAGATACAACACTTAGTTTAAAAATCTTCTGTGTTGTAGGTCACCTTTAAAACATTGCAACATGAGGTTATAGTGAGGCTGGAAGTGTTGGATCTCTTTTAATGGGAGTAAAATTAAAATATAGAAGAAGTAAAAAAGCATTAAAATATTGTAGATTTATTCCATATATATTGTCAGTTCACTTTAAAATCAATTTAGTAAAGTTAACATTCTTCAACATGCTGTGACAACTTGTCAAAAGCAAAAAGTATTTGATTATATACATATGATTCATTATTCATATGAATTTAGTAACATTTTGTTTTTTGGTTTAATGCATCCAGAAATACTTAGTTTTACACAATGAAAAGGAGACATACAATTCTGGTAATTATTGTTTCAAAAGTTAAAACCCCCTTTTACTTTTAACTTCTGAAAAAAGCTCTTGTGAAGTGTTTTTTGTAGCTTGCAACCTACACTCCATAATAAACTGTAACAAAGTGTTTCCTTTCTTGATAAAAGTTGTGGTATTTCAAGAATTCACTTTCTTGTCACATGCTACTCAGATGACTTTTCCTTTTAGGATTCTGCAGCTGACCACAGAAACATTGCTAAAGCTGGTTTTGGTGTGAAAATCAGTCTGTCAGTGGTTATTGCTGTGCCTAGCTGTGGGTCCAGTAATCCAGAATTACACCTGTGTTTTGGACTATGCTTAGGTCAAATTGTTTCGGAGGCACTTTACTTTCTGACAATGCAGGCTAGCCTTTATATTTACCTGCTAAGATAACAGAAATAAGAACATAAAAAATCAGTTTTATACATCCAGTTTTATCCTTAAAAATCTTTTAATGAGAGACAAATTAGGCAGACCCCTAAAACTTATTTTTCTGATACGTTAAATTTCGAATAGGGTGGTACAGTGCTGATGTGATTAGTGCTTCAGCCTCTAACCCCAGGAGCATGGGTTCAATGTCGGCTTGTCTAGTTCGTTTTCTTTGGGTGATCAAGTTTCCTCCCATCTCCTATAGACACGAAGGCTGGGGTCAGTTCGCTATTCTGAATTATTCTGGTCAATGGACTGGCATCATTGTAGCAGTCTCACTGTCCCAGTTCCATCATGTGCTCTGTGGTATAGGTTTCCACTGGTATAAACAGCTTGTTGATGACGGATGAGAAAATGTATTTCATATGGCCGGTATCTTCAATTTGTAACAGCTTTACAGGAAGTAATGTCTTTGTGAATTAAGCATCAACAATTTTTTTCTAGTCATTGAATTGGGTTAGATCAAATTAAATTGAGCAAATGTCAAACCTACTGTAATACCAACTTTCCTTTAGATAGATGCAGGCAAGCATAAAGTCATCATCAAATGACTCATGTGCTATTGACACGCATCTCAATCTTGAATTAATCCGAGTCATTATTTACAGTTTGTTTTCTTCCTGCATGAGATATGTCTATGTGACAGAATTACATCAGCCTTAGATTAATTTACAGTCGCATGCTTTGGAATACCATGTCATTCTCATCTGAGTGCTATCCTCTGCTGTTAATGTCCTTTTGGCAGTCTGTCATTTAAGAGTGAAGTGCTGTCACAATAATGATGTCTTTTAACACATGTTGCAAAATCAACTATAGATTAGTGAAGTTATGTGTTCTGTCATAGTAAAAGCTCAATGTAATTTAAACACAGGAGTCAGAACATTTTAATTCTCACTTCTTTTAACTTTAATCAAAGGACAACACCTTACCATACTTATAACACTGTTACTATACAATGTTAATAAAGTAGTTGTAAGATCACAATACTTTGCTAAAACAAAAAAATATCCTGCATTTTTTCTATCTCTTGACATTTGTGAAATACAGACATTCTACATTGTATTTTATTTTTAATAAACAAAACATTTTTGTGTACTTTGGCTAATGTCTGAAGACTTTCTCCAAAAACCAATGATGAAATAACAGCATGCACCATAAATTGTTACAAATATGTCCATATAACCATTGGAAGATTACAACTTTTTTTCAACTTTTATATTAAATGTAATATAAAAGACCCTGTATTGCATAGACCCTGAACAGTTCAGTGCGTGAATTCAGAATATCAGATGATATCTGATCTAAACACAACCTAGAAGGGGTGCCACATTTTGCATCATAAAATGAGCAAAGGTTTGTGTGCCGCCTTTTAATACCCACCTGAGTCCAGCATGCTTTGATTTAATGAGTTGTTTGGCATCATTATTATTCCTGAAGTAAATGTATCCCTAATAATTTTAAAACTACCACAACCTAGGCGCATTATAAAGATCAGGTGGGTGGCTGGATCAGCTACCCCTGAAGAAGGCTCCACAGCAGAAACGTCAGGAGGATGAAAGCCTCCTGATACAGTGGCCCTTTTGGCTCTTTGAAGTTTCTCAGGACTGCAGTACCTCAGTTACAGTGGACAGAGGCGTCAAGAGAAGTAATGCCCCTTTCCATCTCATTTTTATTTCGTGTCATTGCCAAAATTGCATCTATCACAGGGAAAAGTACAGCCAATAATCTGCTAGAGCAGTCATTTTCCTTGTGAAACATTGTCTCCTGGTTTTGTGAACAACAGCATTGTCAGATTTTCATTCCATTTAGCCTAACGACTTAATGAACTTTATCTTTTATTAACCTTATTGTAACCTAAAAAGATCTTCATCCAAATTCTTTCAATCCATTTTTCCTGGTGAGGACAGTAGCACTGAAATGACATTTTTTTCAGAATTTGCTATTTTTTAAGTTTTTAAAATTATTTTTCTTCCCTCAGTCATTGGTTTCAAATGTATTTTAAACATAACACAAGTAAAAGTTTAAACAAGTTGTCATACAGGAATTGTAGTCGCCCAAGGAACATCTTTTTGGAAGAGTGATTTAGGATTTAGGGATATTAAACCCAAAGGCACTGTCACCCAGACTCTGCAATCTTGAAGTGGGAAAACAAGACCAAAAACAGCTGATTGAAGGTTGCCTCCAGAGAAATAAGCAAAATATCACACAAATACAGGGGTGAAAAACCATTTGAATTTTTTAAAGGTCAACAATTTTAAATTAAATTAGATAAAGGTAACTAGAAACCTATGTAAAGATTCCAAAACAAGGGTGATATTATTGCTTTAACAACACAATTTGAAAAGTGCCCTGGTTATTTCTACCTATTGGACATTTCAGTTGTCAAAATAAGAAGTAACAAATGTATGAACACAATTTTCAAATAGATTGCTTAACAATTTCTTCTAGTTTGCCAATTAGTGCTACACAGACAGATGGAAACTGTGCCAGGCACACACATAAAACATCAACGCTCCTGAAACTGTATACATATACTGTATGAGTAGTGTTCTAAAACCTTGAACATCTCTTGCTAAAAGCTGGAATTGCTTCAGTCCAGACACTAGGGTCAACAAGAGATGGTTTTGAAAGCAATATGTACTGTACATATTCCTGAGTGTCTGATGGCAACCTATACAATTTTGCATTTGCCTTCACTTCAGATCTAGAAGTATTGCTGTTGTGCATTTGGCCAATTTATTCAAAATATTCTATTCACAGGGACGTGGCTTCAATTCCACATTTTTCCTTCCTTTAAAGGAAAGAGTGCAGTGAGATTGTGTGGCGTCAGGCACCATACCGCTTGTTTTAGCGTACAACATCAAAGTTAGTTAGTGCATCTGGGCTGATGCCTTCACAGATCAAAGTGCTGTCTGGATGACACAATTTGAATAGTGATTTGCAAGATTCACACAGTAGTGAGGGATAACATTTCCCTTTCAAAAAGCAAACGCTAATTCTCGACTCAATTAACAAGCCTGCTGTAGACAGTCCAGGCAGTTCCCCAGTTGATTTATGATTACCCTTGCAGCTTTCTCTGCAGTGTGCATTGCATAAACTATCCACCTTCATTATTGACTAGTTCATCATCCAAAGCCTTGCAGCTTTACATGTTACCAAACCTAATTTCAGAACATTCCTGTATATAGTATCTTTAGTATCATACCTATCTTTACTTATCTTTGCCATTAGTCTAATAAATAAATATTGATTTACCTATAAATATTGAAGAGGTGAAATAC